TCAAAAAGAAGAATATTAACAAATGGAACATATAAAACCATGTGAAGATTCGATTTATTGTCTTGAACAATATTCTCCCGAAAAATCCGTAAATCATAATCAAACTTATTCACATCCATGTCGTTTCTCTGAATTATGTCGAAATATTCATGATACATCTCACAGTATACAATTTACGCATGATAAACACGATGTATCTCAATGTGAATATGATATGAATTGTTCTAATTTAACTGATCCTACTCATCGCTTTTCCTATCGACATACTGGTTTACCGGATTATTTAATTCCTTGTCGAAATCAACAGGAATGTCGTAATTTGACTTCTGAACATCGAAAGAAATATTTTCATGGTGAAAAAATCAATACATTGACAGTAAATAAAAATAGTCCAAAAAGTAAAAATTGAATTGACGAATAGAGAAGTATATTATTCTATAACAATTGTAGGAACATCACAGACAAAAAGAAAATTTGAATCAAAAAATCCTCAAAATCAATCCCAACAGGATCATATTGCTCAACATACAAGATTTCAAGAACAGTCACGTGCAAAGAAATCCCCATGTACATTGAATGAACAATCTTCTCATGTAGGATCATTTGAAAATGAAGAATCTAATCGTAAAGAACTACTCGCCACCTTCTATACAGAGGTAGCAGGTAGAAGTACTATTATCGAAGCAAATGCCTTCGATCGATATCATAATCCAACAGGAAGAATTTATGATTTAGGTCGAGATAGTGCATTTAGTGAATATAGTATTTTAATTGCACAGTTTTATACAGATTGGGAATTCAATGATACTGCTATGAAAATACCAATTGATGCGTTAAAAGTTAAAGGATTTCATGTGACACATGTGAAAACAGAAGATAAATGTATAAAAGAAATCGCCTCGAATCGTTATCAAATCGTATGGATTATTAGTACAAATAACATTCAAAATTCATCATTTATCTCAGCTCTAACAACATATCATTCATCTGGTGGAGCTATTTTCTTATTTGCTGATAATACACCATATGTATGTCATGTATCTGAATTTCTTAAAACAAAATTTGGTATAACTCTCGAAGGTGATTACTATGGTGATAAAACACTTGTATACAAAGAAAATGGTTATCAACAAACAGGACATTTTGGTCAACATGATATTTTTACGGGAATAGAAAATTTATATGAGGGTATTACTATCTGTCATCCTGTCTATTCAACACCAGCAAGTCGCACGAAATTTATTACCATAGCAACTGCAACTGATGGAAATAGCAGTATTGCCGTGTATGATCCACTACTAACATCAACAGAAGGACGTTTATGTTTAGATTGTGGCTTTACTAAACTGTTTAGAAAATGGGATTCAGCAGGCACAGAACGTTATATTATTAATGCTAGTTGTTGGCTACTTGGCATGGAAAAACGTTTGAAACAGAAGAATCAAAGTTAAAACAAGAAATAAAACCTAAATAACTCATTTAATTTGAATGCATATTGTTCTATGATTTTATTTCATACAAATTTTTTTGTTTGTTTATTTAAATATTTAATTTATTAATCAAGTTAATTTCGATAAATAAATATTCATAATATCATACTGTTTCAATAGTCTATCATCAAATAGATACTAGATTACTCACATTCAAAACCTCAAATGGTAGTGATCGTTTCTCAGAATTTTCAACGTCTTATCTTTATATTAATCTAAGACTGCACTTGTTTATTGTTATTCTTATATGAATATACTTTCTATCATACCCATGTGTTCGATATGTAATGATTTAAGTGCCCTCTTCCCCCTCAAAAATGATTTCCCACTTCGAGTGTTTTCCTGTCTAGAAATCGTGTTTTGAGAAAAACGCTAAAGAAGTTTTAGAAATGGATTTTTTCATTCAAACCTAGAATAAATCATATTATCATGGTATATTTTTAATATATTCCAATGAACCGTTTTAGAATACGTAATGGATGAAGATAGCTAATGTCATCTGACATACTGACCAATATAAAAATGTTCTATTCAATGATAATAACTGAAAAAAAATTAAAAACCACGAAAATGAGGTTTCTCATTTTACATATTTTGTATGAGTTTAATAAAGCTTGAGAGCCAATGTGAGTTTCACAGTTCAATCCCAGAGAAGCTGCGTTAACAAGCTTTTTTTGCTTCATTCTTCAGTGTCACTTTTAGTCTTGATATTGATAAAAGAATTATTTCAGAATATCGTAGATCAAATAAAAAATATCCCTTTGGTTTTAGTCAAATTTATCATTCTTTGATATGCGTATCTAATAAACGAAGACATAGTTGCTTAAATTCTTACGGTTGAATGACGATAAAAAAAAAGAGAATTTTTGTATGTGAATTACACAAAGCTCATCTGAAAGATAATAATTACATTTATATATAATAAAAAGAACCGACATATTCTCATTATATGAGAAAGAATTAAAATACATACAATCAGAATGTCAAATTCTATTATTTCATTATCTCTTGCTTTTGTTACTCAACAAGTGATCATTTATGTGGGCTCGTTTCTTTTTGTTGCTGGTCTTATTGGTAATTCCTTAACTCTAGTTGTTCTTTTAAGTCTTCGAACTTTTCGACAAAATTCATGTGCATTCTATTTAAGTATTATGTCAATTGTTAATACATTCTATTTATTTATTGGTTTATTCACTTTTATTATGATTAATGGATTTACAATCAATTGGTTAAATATGTCATTATTCTATTGTAAATTTCGTCCATTCTATGTTCAATTCTGTATATTGATATCCTTTTCATGTATGTGTCTGGCAACTATTGACCAATTCTTGACAACGTGTTCTAAAATTCGTTGGCAACAATACTGCAATATCAAATTAGCTCGTTATATGTTAATCGGTACAGCTATAATATCGATTCTACATGGAATTCCAAGTATATTATATTATGGTCACATTCCATCATCTATGACGAATCAATCCACATGTGTCATTACAAACACTGTTTTTCAAACATACTTTACTGTTTTTCAAGTGCCTGTTCTGACAAGTACGTTACCAGTTATTATTATGATCATATTTGGAATTTTAGCATATCGAAATGTTCAACAAATTGCTTATCGAACTATTCCATTAATTCGACGAGAATTAGACAAACAATTAACATCAATGGTTCTTGTACAAGTTTTCTATGATGTTATTGCTGTTATACCATCGGCTATTGTTAGTATATTTATTGCTATTTATAATATTTCGAACAATTCACTTATGGCAGCACAATGGAATCGTATCTCAACTTTAGCAATAATAATATACTTTTTTCGTCTTGTCGTAAATATGAATTATTTTAAAATGATATTATAAAAACTCTGAATTCTTTTATTTTTGCAGAGTTCATTTTATATTTATGTATGTGTATCAAAACGATTTCGTCAACAATTGATCTATGTTTTATTTACAATTCATCTCAATCGATGGTATCATCGAAGAGTAAACATTAACCAAATAGAACCACAGTCATAATGATTCCATAGATATTTTTGATAGATATATTGTAATTTAACATTTTTTCTATAAAATATCGTCAATAAAATTGAATAGTGACATTGTTTTTTTATTTATTTATTCTACCGAGAAAGACACGATGAGTATGTTGATAGGATATGTTTTTTCTTCAATTAGAATCTGAGCTTTACACTCAGGTAAGGATAACTAAAAGACTGTAGAAAAAAAGAACGCGACATTTTTTTTTCACTTAAATAATTTTATTATTCGACATATTTATTTTTTACCTAATAATTATGTTGATTCCATAAGGATTATTAATTATCAAACATGAAAAGAAAAAGAACCAATGTGTTAAATAGTCGTTCTATCTCCGAAGATTGTATATTAAATGAAAAGCTACCCAAGATACATACAGGGTCTCCCAAAAAGTCTGTACCCACACTGACACCCAACTCACACACTTCCACATCCTAGTTATGCCAAATCACTCCACACAGGGTGATTTGCCAAACTTAGCTAATTTAGTTGGGACCAGTAAAACCTAATTTTTGTGAGAGATAAATACTATTTTCAAGCGATTCATTTGATTAAAATGTTTTCCTCGTCGAATTCTATACATCTAAAGATTTTCAAAAATTATCATTCGATTTATAGTGTCAATATTTATACAATCAATGATAAAGGAATCGAAAATTTTAAAAATAATATCAATTTTTTTCAAAGAACGAATGATGTTAACGCAACTTTTTGACTCAAAATATTTTCACGAAGTAGTTCCATGTAAGTAAAAAGGTTGATATGGGTGGGTGAGTGTGGCTGTAGGTATAGAATAAAGGAAAACCTACACCCACACTTTTAGCGTATCAAAGAGAGCATGATCTAAAAGGAAAACAACGGATAACTTAAGCATTTTTCATCATTCTGTGTTTTCAATTAATTTTCAACGCGTATGTACTTCTATTGTGAACCAATTTTGTGGATTGGTAGGTCAACTAGATGATATTCTGATCACATAGTATTCTGTTAAGTCTAGATAGTCTTGAATGTTCGGTTGTGGTCAAGAATGTCTTCGTTCACAGATTCTTTACAAAAGTCTACATAGAAATATCTATTGCCATGAAGTTCACTTGTCAGAACATCCCATTAGGTAGTATTGAAAGTCAAAAACCGATCAAGATAAGTTTCTGAGCATTCGGAAATCTTATACAGTTTCCGATTTTGTTACTATCAGAAACACTTCAAGGATTTCCAAAGTTGCGAAATCTACTTTTCATCTTTGAAAGCCTTTAAAGAGTTTCTAAGACCAATTCAGAAACCTAATGAGATTTTCGAGCACTCAGAAATCTATTTAAGTCGGTATCTGAGAATACAATTTTTTTTAGAGGGTATTTTTATCATGATATCCTCATGCCAGAGCTCTTCGAGAGACAAGTTATCTTTCGTCAACTCAAGAAGAAATTTAGAGGACACTATACAATGATGAATCTTGCTTTCTTGAAACGTCAAGCATTGAATATTTGTGTTCTTTTTCTAATTGTTCGCCTCACATCGGTAACTCTGATAGTACTCAGGTTGGATATCTATGAACAAACTCAATGCTAATTGGACTTCAATTAGAGGTTAACGACAAGAAGTAAATTCCATATTACATTCCATCGAAGAACTTTTATTCCAAATCTATATTACATATCGAAGTATAGATGTCAGTCTCTGATACTAATTGACTCACATCTACCTTCAACCACAGCTCTGTGCAACAATTTGAAGGTATAGAAGAAAGAAAAATGTCTCCACTGTTGTGTCACCTGATAACACTAAAACTAAAGCACGTGAGAGGACGACTAAAAACAACCAGTTTTTATCTACTTCCTATATAAAAACATTAAGGTTAAAATCAAATAAAAAACGATTATAATCATATGTTTTTTTATAAGTTTTTAATCATTTTTGAAGCGATCTTAATGAACAATAATCGAAAAAAATCAAAATTCCATTGATTATTAAGATTAATTTCGATTACAATCGATTAGAACTCAATAAAAAAAAATTGATAATAGTTTTGATGCAAAGCAATGAAAACCGGTTGAAGATTTTTACATTTATCATGAGGAAAAATCAATAAAAACTGGTATTAATCGAAGTTAATCTTAATAATCAATGAAATTTGATTTTTTTTTCCGGTTAGTTTTGATAAAAATCGGTTAACAGATGATTAAAAACCGATTAAAAATATATGATTATAATCGATTTTCATCTGATTTTAATCTCAATTGTTTTTAGATAAGTTGTCAGAAAATTATAAAATGTGATGTCCGTCATAGATGAATTCGGTACTGACAACAGGCCGATCGATTAGTCTACCGATTTGTACCAGTATAGCTATAATAGATCGATTCTTACAATGAAATTCTTTTTAATGGAGAAGTCTTCCAAGTTACCAACTTAGATTATGAATCTAAAATGTATTAAAATATTTGCACATAAATGTTCAATTGTTTCAAGCTCCAAATTTAGCAGAGATCACTATTAAAAGAAATTTCATTTCAAGAATCGATCTATTATTGCTGTACCAGTTCACACGGGTAGAGCGTTCTGAATTTTGTTGAACTCATGTTTTCGGAGAACATAATGAGTGTAGGTTTTATGTCCAAGTTTTTACAGCTTCCCAACATTCTCCATCGATTCATTTACAATGTACTAAAGTTTTCAAACTTGCATTTTGTATTAGTTTAGAAAGGCTGAAGAGTTTATGTAAGTTCCACATTTCAGTCCTAATGGGCTGCGCTAACAAGCTTTTTAAGACTGATAATAGTACTGATCTTTAAAAAACTAGACTGGTTTCATCTATGACGCCTGTGAATTTGTTTTTGCGGTGTAGTGTGACACAGTTTAAGATCAATTTTGAGAAAATTTTCATATTGAGATCATGTCGAATGCAGAAGAATGTGACAGCTACGTGAACTCGCATGGTGCATCTGACATTCTGGACACAATAGCTTATAATTTTGCTACCCAAGCCGGAGGATATATGTCTTTTCAAATCGAAGATAACTTTTCGAATAGTACACTGCTTGCACCTGAACACAATAATATTTTAAATGGATTTTATAAGAATCTGAATCAGCGATGGGCACTAATCTACAAAGCGTCAAGGCATGGATTCGATGCCGCTTCATTTCACGCGTGTTGTAATAACAATGGGCGAACAATGACCATTATCAAATCGAACAACGATTATCTCTTCGGTGGTTACACTTCGGTTCCTTGGACTTCGAGTGGTAGCTTTGAAAGTGATGACACTGCGTTCTTGTTCACTCTAACGAATCCTCATAATATTTTACCGACCAGATATCCAGTTCTTATGCAATATGTAGCTTATGCAGTTTGTCATAACGGTGGCTATGGACCAACATTCGGCTGTGGTAACGATCTGTACGTGGCAACGGACAGCAACTTGAACACAAATAGCTCTATTGGATTCCCCACAGCATACCTGGATACAACCAACAAAGGTTACGAAACTTTTACTGGGACTCGTGCATTTACGACGTCAGACATCGAAGTATTCAAACCGATATAAAAATATTCCTGGGATTTTCTTACCATGTACACTGATTTAAAACTTTTTCCTAGCATTGTAGAAGATGATCAGATGTGACTGAACTTATTTTTCTGTCATCGAGTTTGTCGACGGTACAGTCCAGCAATTATTCAGAATTTTTTTTATTAGCGCGTTCAATAAAAATCGAGGGAGAAACAGCAGAATTCAAGACTTCTAAAGACTTTATAAGACTTCAATATATGATCTGATGCAAAAGTTACGAAGCAAATGTCGACTTCTATCTCTCTTTCACAGAAGTATGCTGAAAGAACATTTTTTCATCGGTAGGTAGAAAATGTTTTCCTCTTTCGAACCATATATAACATATTTTTATAACCTGTTCGTGAACGAAATTACATTAAAAGAGAGATAAGTACCCTTAAAATAAATTCGCACTCTTCCTGAGATTCAATCAAGAGGAATGAAATATTGATCCCTATAACTTTTTAATAAACACGTTGTAATAGAAATAATTCTGTTCAGTCGATAGAAAATTTTCTCTTCTTTCAACCAATATATGATTTACAATTGTCATACATTCGCCAATAATATGAGACTGGAAAAAAAGAAAAACACTCCCGGAATAAATTTGCAATTTTTATATGAACTTATCAAAAAACAAAGTGTAAAAGGACAGTTGATCAGAATCAACTGTCGTTTTGTAGTATGTTTTTGACAATTTTTTTAATAAAAATTGCAGATTTATTGGACGAGTGTTTCTCTTTTTCTCGCCTCTTTTGATTTACAAATGTATGATAAATATAAATCATATATGGATCGAAAGAAGAGACAGTTTCTTATCGATTGATGCAAAAATATTCCTTTCAGAACGTGTTTATCGAAGAGATATATGGATTCATATGTTATGTTGTAATTGGTAGGAAAAGTACAAACTCATTTTGAGGGCGCTTCTCTTTGCTTTTGCATCATTTCATTTATGAATATGCGTTAAAAATAAGTTATACATTATTTGAAAGAGAGAAAAAAATGCTATCTTCTTGCGAAACAGTTTTCTTTCATCACTCTTCTATTAAAGAGAGAGGAGTAGACACTTGTCTCATTGCTTTTGCGTCAGCTTTTATATTAAGAGCTATATCGCAAAAACATTAACACTCCTTGAGACTTCAAACCCAACGTTTCAGTCGTTTTCACCTCGCCTTTCCGGTATCTTGAAGTTTTCGAAAATCGACATTTCTCGCTTCACATCACACTCGAAGCATTGTATTTAAGGGTGTGGGTGTGAGTGTCGATGTGGATGCTCTTTACTTGCAATGCACTCACACTCACACCCACACCCAATTGGTGCTTTGATTAGTACAGTGGCAAGCGTGGGTCAGATAGCAAACTTATGGAATATTGGTGGGATTATATTTAATCTTTCTGGTTCAATAGCAAATGAAATTGGAATTTATAAATGCAAAAAAAAAAAATTTGAAATCACTACAAGATCTAACCGAATAGACTAAAATACTCATTAACAACGCTAACGAATCCATGAAGATATTAAAATCTATAAAAAATGCTGCCAAGCAATAATGACAGAATATGATTATAAATTGTTTATAGCAGTATCTTGAGGTTGGATGAGGGGAAGGAGGAGAGGGAGGGGAGGGTGAGAGTGAGCGAGATGCGAGGGCGAGGCCTAGGGTGAATGCGATGGGAACAGATACCACAATTTAGATTTTACGTCGGCTAAGACGATCATCGCATGGCTTAAATCAATATGATTTCAAAAAGTCACAAGGGTGTGGGTGTGGGTGTTCCCTTTCTACCCTCACATCCACACCCACACCACACCTACCTTCCGGACTTCGAAACCACAAGAAATTGACAATCTATAATCGACATCTAAATAAACAATCATTCATTAATTGAAAAATTTACTTCACAATCGCATGTAAGTGTACGAAGGCTGTAGCCTAACATTCTTTCTTTACACTTGAATAGTTGCCAACAATTATGTTTGACAAAAGCGCTAGCTCGATGTGGATGTGAGTATCGGTTTTCTTTCATTCACATGCGATCTACACCCAATGGAAGGGTTGATTCAATGAAGCATATAATAGACGATGTCATTGACTGTCAAGTAGATAGAATGTAATGAAAATACAAATACACAGATGATGTTGAGATGGTCAAGAATATTTTTTGTAAAAGTTAAAGTACAAATTTAGTATGACAAAAAAATGAAAAACGTTTTGATAGATAGACATTACATCTTTCACAAAACTAACAGAAATTGATTTTTTTGTTTATCAAAAAACTTAGATTACTGATAGCAGATTTTATATTTGACAAAGATTTACATGTTACTTCAAAACTTTAGATGAAATGAACGTTTTTTAAAATACCTTTGTCATTATTAGTATATTTTTGTTTTGGATCGCAAAAGACAAAAAATGAGATTAAAAAAAGCACCATTTAGCACGTAAATACCACATTATGCAATAAAATGGCAAGATATACTAAGAGATATTAAATCTACTAATTATGAAATTGTTTTTTTTTATGCAGTACTATCTGTTGAATTTTCAAATGTTGGTAGTGGAATATTAGACATTCTAACACGAGCCATTGCAGTCATTATCCAATCCATGCAAATCATCATCTAGTCAAAAGAAATATGGTAATAATAATGAGTAATCATAAAATATAAATGAACACGATAATATACTCGGTTCATCTGTGCATTGTTTTCAGCCCGAGCCTGTTCGTTACTACGGTTCAATGCATCTATTTGTGTTTGTAATCTATCAATGGTGTTTTTCATTGCATTTACTTGTGTTTCTAATCTATCAATAGTATAAGATTCATTGTGAAGTAAAAATAAGACATCACAATTTACTTTAAAGTCTGATATTCGGCTTTTGGTCGATAATTATCTTCAACAAATTTACGTGCATAATCATAGGTAGCAGCGTTCTCAAATTCTGTCCACCGAACATTCATCTCAGGCGTGTTGCAACGACGTTCTAAATACAATTGACTAAACTAGAACAATTTTAAAAAAAAAGAGATCTCTCTCTTCAATTTCATGAAATAATCCTTGAATAACAAGAAAGAAGTCTTTATTCAAAAATTGAGCCGTAAACTATCTATTTCTTGAACAAGCGTTCATTGAATAATCAAAGATGATTTTACAATGAAGCTCTCGAAAAAAAAATAGTATAACTACTCTACACTAATGGACATAAAGAAAGAAGAAAGAATTACTTTCAATAATATATCTAACGATTTCTAAAACTAATATAATGTGAAACAACTCATCGCTCAAGAAATTTGAACATTCTATCGGAGAGACGTTTTTCTAGAAAGTTGCTTATCATCGTAGATTTTTGAAAACAATGATCAAGTCAAAGGCATGAAATCTATCAAAAATCAGATTGCTATTCGTCGTGAAAACTTTTATCATTATACTCACTAAATACTCGAAAAGTTGTGCCGCGACATATAACTGCACTTATGAACCATCCAATATAAGCAAGAAGTGAAAGAGGTGGAAAAGCAAATAATGGCTTTTCAAAATATTCACGAATTAATTCATACCGTTGATAACGCCAAATATATTCATTCTTATCGTGAACTTCATTGATTGAAAAGCTAAATATACAATTGAAATAATAATAATAGTAAAATGTTCAAATATAGAAACCCTACTTAAACACGGCAATAAGTAAATTAAGAATCAGAATATTGATAAAAAGCATGTGACAAGCTAGCAGTACATGAGTTACAGTAGCCTCTGCCACTCTTTCTGATGAAGTTGCGTTAGATATGATATCTATATGAAACATAGTACCAGATATATAACAAAGTGAGATTTATTTACAATCAAGATTGGATTTCTCTTCTTCGACAATGGAATATAAGAACCAATAAGGTTGATAGAATACAGCCGTAAAGATACTTCTAGCTGTAAATTCTAATTCTGCATACATAGTTAGAGCACGAGATACTACACCGTAGGCAGCAATACAAACAAAGATTATATAAATGAAAGCAGTTAAATAGCCTAACTACAAGAATAACTATGTATATGTTCAAAAAGATTTAAACATAATTATTTACCATATTTCGAATCATGAAAAGTTTTGGTCCTAATAGTTTAATAGCACTAACAAAACGTAATGAGAAGAGATACCAAAGTTCAAGATCAATGGCCAGAATAATCCTATGAATAAATATATTTCAATACGAATAGAACTAAATTGTTAAATAAATCTTTTACCTTGCAGCGGTAAAAAGATTTGATTGATTTTCTGATCGAAAATAAAGTATAATGCCAATATAAAAAAGAAGATAGGGCATTGCATATATAGGAATCATCCATATGCCCGGTCGATGCCATCTTTCCAACATTCGTGTATAATAATCAACGGCTAACTATATTATTCATACTAGAAGAATAAGATTATAGTAAATATCTCACTCACTTTACGAAAATCTTCAATAAGCATTGCTGACACAGTAATAATCAGATAAATTCTTGTCCAATGAACTGAATTTTCCTCTATATTCATATGAAATAACATCATATAACTAAAGACAAGTAGAAACCATATATAGATTGCCTATAAAAATATGAACAAATTTTACACTACAAGATAATGGATGCTGATAACTCACAAAATCATAGCACATCTTGACAACAGGAGCTAAATGAAAATAGAATACTTTTTGAAGGTAATTAGGAGATTTAATGGTTTGATCTTCGATTCCTTTCCATCTATAACATATATTAATACATATTGAGCGAAATAGACAATAAAATACCTATGAGAATCATTCTTTTGAAACTAGAACAACAAACATCAAATTATAATGAAAAGATGTAGTTGAATTTAAGAACAATCTTACTATTTCTTGTGAAGTCTGATCGATAACATCTTCTGCACGATATTTTCTAAGACGATGTTTAATCAATCCTAATGATATTAAACTGAGTAAAAATTTTAATTTTGCTATTGATGATTCAGTTGCATTGCCTGGTAGATGACCAAACCATTGTCGGTTTAGAACTTGATTGAAACAGTCAGTGTTGATAAATTTTATAATACGTGATGCAATTGCTATCTTCAATACAAAATTCATAGTACATACTTATTAGAAAAAGTCAATTTGACTCACTTGCATACAGGTAACATTTCCAAAAAGTGGATTTTCACGTAAAAGGAGTTGACAAGCAAGTCGTTCATTATGTTTATAGCAGGCGTTAATACAATCTGTAGCATATGCTTCATATTTTTCCGCCTGTTCAGTGTATGTATGCCGTACATCCAAAGTGCTAGCAGATAAAGATAGATGCTGAGCCATACCAGCTGCGATCAATGCTGCACCCATTCGTGATTCAAGTTGTAACAAAAGGACAAAAGCAATATCAACATAGCCTACATACACACTCCATAGGAAAAGTTCACGTAACATTTCTTGGCTACTGAATGGTTTACCGCACGTATAAGTTTCGTGCGATTCCTCACTATTGTTTTTTGTGGATGAAGTTTTGTCAATGTCGTGGATACGACTACGATGGATGAATGCTTTGACGTCTTGAAAGAATTGACTGCCTTTATTTCGTTCGAAATAGAATGAATTAACGTGTGGCCCAATTAATTGTCTATAAGTTGCGTCAAGTTTCTTTAATGTTTTTGGAATACTCCAATGCTAGAAATATAGAGCATAACTATGGTGAGAAGATATTATAAATAGGAATATATCTTACATCAAAATGTGTTTGAACAGATTTGTAGAGTTCCTTAATGACAAATTTAAGAGCACATTCCACTTGTATTTTGTCTTCGAAGTTTGTTTCGTTTTCCAATGATTGTTTTTTTAACTGACTTATCTTACGATCTGAATCGGATTCATTGCCATTACTTATTGTCATTCTCAGACTTTCAGAATGTTTAAGAAATTCAGTTGTTTGAAGAGGACTATGATTTCTTCTTAGAAAATAATCAACGAATACTGGACGATTTTCTTTGAGTGCTTGTTCAAATAAGCTAGGGTAGAGTTTTGGATCATCCTAAAAGAAAATGTTAAGATTATTTTTTAAAAAAAGCCAAGAGACATTGACATTCGTGAACAAATATTTTGGAATCCTTTTCTTTTATTCTTTTATTATTCCAATACGAAAAGACACGATGTACATACTGCGAGATGTTTAAGCACAGATTCTGCTCTATCTGCATAATTCCAGCTGATAGCTAATTTGAGAAAATTTTCCTGTTGTCTTGCATCAGCATGAGCTAGAAAATAAATTATCTTTTGATACTATATGTACGGAGAATATACAAAATAATTTTACCAGCATCCACTGCTTTAAAAATAGTATCTGTAAGACTTGGATCATGTTCGAGATAAAATACACTCAGATACTTGCGATATTCTTGTTTAAATAATTCTCTAATAGTTTTAATGATATCGTTTCTAACATTTTCTTTGTTTTCTTCAATCTTAGACCAATGTTCATGAAAAACTGATTCAAGTTGTTCTTTCACATCTTTTTCTCTAAATAAAAGATGCTATGGAATATTTAGCGAAAACTTTTGCACAAAGATTCTTCATACTCAGGTATAGTTTCTTCGTTTGAATTTTCAAGTAATGTACCAAGAACGTTTGCCAAACGACCACTACCATGAATGATGATTACTGGTCGCTCAGCCATTAAATCATGTTTAATGACTTCCAGAGTATTGAAACCACCTTCAACAATGATTGTTATAGCTTGACACTTAAATTCAGTACATGCACTCTTGACAAAATCAGAACGAGGACGATCATCAATATAACAATTTACACGACCATTGTCTAGTAGAAGAAAATGTGAATGATTTTTGTCAAGTGTTTTTCCTTCATCATAATTCAATGTTATCGGTGCTCTTGGTCCAGTAAAATGTGCGAAAGTAGTATGCGATATGTTGCGTGATGCCTGAAAGAAAACATAAACAATATGATTAATGATAACATTCAAACAATTACAAATTCTACCTGCGATTTGAGCACATTTCGTGTATGTTCTGTTGCTGTTCCCCAGCTAGTTAGTCCGATAATAGTCGGTTTACACGAGTCTTCGTTCAGTAATCTGTAACGATGAACACTCTGTCCTATTAGTTTCGACACACCTTTGTTCAAGCCAGTTGTCAGCAACCACACACCTATATGATCAACAAAAATTAAAATGATTTTTTCGAGTTCCAAATCAGAATATACCTCTCGTGACTGCTGCTTGTGAAATACCATTCATGAATTCTTTCTCTAATTTATCAGTCATTGTGAAGTACTCGGCTCCACCAAAACAACTGATAAGCAAAACAGGTATCTCCCCAACATGTTTCTGCATAATTTGGCATAATATTTTAAACGTATTTGATTTATCTGCATTGCATCGAATAAACTAATCACAAGTAAAATACTGTTAATGCAGTCTCAACGGAATTATAATGTGAAACACGATTTAACTACTGTTATCAGTAGTAAGCGTCTAACACATATGATGACTTATACAAATCTCCAAAAAAAACCAATGGCTTTTCGAAAATCAAAAGTGGATTTCCCGAAACCAAATGGATTTCTGGAACTAAAATTAGCTAACACATTTACGCGCCATCTCTCGATGTGAATATCACGAAAACTCTTCCAGTACATCTCATTCGGTATGGATGCCACGAAAGGACTGATCGAAAATGGGGCTGACACTAAGTTATATGAAAATTCCTAATTTCATCTAAAATGATTCTTTATGTTCATAGTATATTGGCAAGCGTTTGGAATATCGAATGAGAGGACGACAGGTAGCGACAGGAATAAGTAAACCTATTATGCTAATTATGTCTATTATGATTCCTTTACAATAAAATGCAAAAAAAATAAGTTTTCGGAAAATTAATAGAAAGCACCGAGTCGTTCATGTTTGCCATGGTCTGCAATGTGGTATTCGAAGATACCTGTCACAATCTATAGCGATGGCATGGGGAGCCGCAGAAAGTGATTCACAAATCTTGTCCTATACTGATACATACATTTTAGATCGTGTTTCACAATAAAAAGTCACACTTTGTACTATTATGAATATATTACATACTTGGGCCCCATTGTTAAGTTGTCCATATACGGTCAATTTCTGTTTAGTGACAAATTTTCGACTAAATGTAGCATTGGCATCCTGCATTTTTTCCAAACCATCAAAACTGTGGCAACGTGCCAATCGACCACAAGGACAAACTTTTGTTTGATCATCAGTTTCTCTGTTATTAGTCGAGTAAGCGTGACATGTGACACTAAGCAACTCGTTAGATTCTGTTTCTTTATCAATAAGATCTTTCCATGTTGGTTTATTGTTATCGATATCGATACGTGTCGATGTTTGACCGTCATTTATAGCACCCACACGATTCAAAGACATCTATAAGAGATGATTATGTAAACTTTCAGTTCTGTGAAAAAAATACAATGAATGTCAGATCTGTAAAAAGTAAAAATGATTCCTTTTTTTTCTTTCTTTCATCGGTTGACGCGAGTAACAACAACAACCTTGACGACCCAATCATTGGCATTTTTTCCGTCTAGACTTTTCTTTCACAACTTTGTAAGTTCCCTTGAGTCGTTTTATTTTTTCTTGTGTTTGATCGTGAAAGAATATCTTCATTATTCTCTGATCTTTGACTATAATATCATGACTCAAGAACACAGAATGGCTTATGTCGAGCTAAAAGAACTTGCTACCATAGAAGAAGCGAAAGCAATGATTAACAAGCACAAGTTTTCTGTAATTTTATTCAATGAGAGGTAAAAGTTACATTTACAATTACAGAATATTTCATTTTAATTCTATAACAATAGATATCCTGGCCCAGATACTGTAGAACATAAATTTAATTTGTGTCGGCATATTTACGAACATAAGTTTGATCTTCATTGTTACAAATGTGTCGACGAAGACGAATTCAAGACTGAGTTCCACATTAGAGAAACACCGGCATTTATTTTCTTTCGCGATGGCAAAGAAATTAATCGATTTGAAGATGCCGACCAACCAGAATCTAACGCACCAAAGGAAGAAAAAGATCCAAAAGAGTACCGAATCAGAACATATTTAGATAAATTATGCACTAAACAAAATTGACTTTTATGTCCTCTAAATAAACATCCTTAGTGTAAACTCACTTTTAGATCAAATTTGTCTATATTATATAGATACTAACCAACTATGAACATCTTATAATGATTTTTTTATCTGTATTTTGTTGCATCTGATATGTTTACGTTTTATAAATCATTTTCTCACATTGCTACGATCCTCTCAGATGATTGCAAGAAGTTAAAATCAGAAATTCACCTTAAACTTCCCACAGATAAACAAATATGAGGGTGAAGGTGAATTAACTGTATTTAGTACCTCATCAGGATTTCAAGAAAGATAAATTTTTTACTGTAAGTACGTTTAAATGAGTTAAAATTTTGAATTTAGAGGTTTCGTGAGGTGTTCTATCTTTCTGACATTCTTACAAAACTTTCGTGTGCAAAATGTCCATCAACAGTGCAAATTCAGTATCATGAAAGGTCTTAAGCTGACCATTGTATTCTAAAAGTACGAATCAAATCGATTAAACAACGTTGATCATGGCTCACATACAATACTTATTAAGAAGTAATGTATTACTATTTCAATCCTCGATCGTGGTGTTTCTTTTAGAACAATATCTATACAAAAAAAGTCTGAGACAATATCGAATAAATTAAAATTTGTTCATCACATTTTATTTTTTAAAACAAAATAAGATTTTACCCTTCGATCTCTTTAATTTTATTATTCACTCTTTCTTTACTCCTATGTATTTAGTTACTATTGAAAAAAGAAGATTAAAGTTACCTTCTACAACACATTAAAAACAAAATTTCACATAGACTTTTTCACTTCATCTTTTCTTCCTGTAACACATTAAATATATATAAACAAAAAAAATAGAAAAAAAAATATTTTAAATCCTTGCTTTATAGAAGAAAAGAAAACATTGCTCAAACAGTCGCATTGTCAAGTGTAAGCAATATAAAAAGAACAGTTAAAAAAATATTGATAAGGTTCTCATAGTGTTTCACGAAATGTTAGCTTCGATTTTGATTTAGAATCACGATAAAGGCATAGAAAGAGTGGGGATGGTGTGGGGTGTAGGTATGTAAGGTGTGTTGTTGGGTGTGGATGCTGCTTACAAACAGATACCCACACCAACACACACACACTCTCAGTTCACAAATTATTAATAGAAATTTATCTTAAAGACTAATTATGAAATTGTATTTAAAGAGGAATCTTCTTTTCAAAAAACTGACTTCTAAGGATCCAAAATAATTCTACACAAAATACAGCAAGTCCATATAAGTTCAAGTTTAATACCTTAATCGGATTATAAATTCTGAAACTTGGTTGTGAAATAGCCGATAATTATAGGTAGATAATTTGAATCATCCTTCATATTCAAGGAGAGAATTCATTCATAGAGTAAATGAAATAATTGACACAAACTGCTTTCACAAATATAAAATGATAGTAAATACTTTTTTCAGCCTGCTTTGCAGATTTTAAGAGAGCGTCCATGAGAGCATCGAATATACGAGGCACTCGATAAAATTTTTTTGCTCATTCAAAACTTCAATGTCTAAAACTACTAATCCTAAAATTTTAGGTTCTAATATCCTTCCTATGAAAATTTAGCCAAGACCAATTTTTGGCACTATCGAGCCTTTTTGTGGAAAAATAAGAAAAAATATTCTATAAAAGATGTGCTAGCTTGGATTTCAGCAAATCATTGAAATCTTTTTGTGGTATATATAGGAAGATAGAGAATTGAAAACTGAATAAAATGAGCTAGATCGATATAATATAATGGCTAACAATTTAAGTTTTATAGAGCGAATATGAGTCAAGGGGTGGTCCTTTTGATCAGTGCAAATAAACAGTATAACTCGTGTTGTGTTTCACGATTAAGAGACATCAGGCTGAATTTTATATATGTTGTACAGTTTTTTATTCTCTACAAAATGGTTAAAAAATATTTGCAAAAAAAGTTTCCGCTCGATGCGAAAAAGGGTTTACACTGTCTAATTTTTGATGGTTTTTCGATAAAAAACGAATATTTTTAGAGATTTTTTTCTTGTCATAGAACAATGCTAAAGCAAAACAAATGTGATATTCGGAATCAGCGTGAAAAACTACATCCAACCATATATATTTCGCTCAAAGGTTTTTCCTGCCAAAACTAACCTGTGATCCCCCACAGCTATATTTAAAAGAAATTTTTCTCCCTGGCTCCCTCAGGTCCATTTTGGTCAGGAAAAACCTTTGAGCGAAATATATATAGTTGGATGCAGTTTTTCACGCTGATTCTGAATATCACATTTGTTTTGCTTTAGCATTGTTCTATGACAAAAAAAAACTCTAAAAATATTCGTTTTTTATCGAAAAACCATCAAAAACCATAAAAAATTAGACAGTATAAACCTTTTTTCACATCGAGCGGGAACTTTGTTTTTCAGATCTTTTTTGAAAAACGATTCATATTACTTTTTAGAAGATCGACGTCTTCAGTACTGACAAGCAATGAAAAATAAAGACATGTGGTGAAAAAAAAACTAGCATTTCATGCTCGTCAATATCAATCATCCTTACTTGGTAGTAGAAATCGAAGTTCGAATTCTTAAAAGCTTCGTAAATTCTCTCATAGAGCCGCTATTGAAAATGTCATACATGATGACTACATTGCAGTTGAAGAAAATAGAGAAAAAAAAGTCATCCGTGATGCGAAGAAGTACTCATTTCGGTCTGTGAGCTATATGTTACTTTTAGTAGAATAAATGGCAGCAAAAAACCAGACATAAGGTAGCGACCATATGATAGGAGTCGTTATCTCATCATGATAAAATAAGCAATGAATAGAGACAATCATCATCAAATACGACACTGAATGACATCAACGCACCATCCTGATAATCATCAATATCAAGAAACTGCTTATCGCCTCATGTTTTTGGTTGCTTTTTTAGCATAGGTGACTTAGAGTAGATGAGTAGTGATGAAATTCTTATATTCACTTTCTCTCATGTGATCCATCCACTCTTATGAAATATATTACATTCTGTTAAAAATTGATCTAGTTAAGAAAATTACTTTTCTATCCGTCTTTAAATATTCTGTATGAATTATAGGCGATAGTCAAAATCCTGTTCAATGGTGGATGGGTAAAGACGAATACTATTAGGTTGGCACGAAATTTTTTGCGTTTTTTTTAAATTTCCTAGAGCAGTCGAGAAAGTTCTAGAAGTTTCCATATTAAGGGTATGGAATTAATGACATTTCATCGCAACTACCAATGACTCCACAATCTTATTACTGACGATGAAAAATGGGTGTTGTATATTAACCACACACACCAACGACAGTGGCTGGCAGCTGGACAAAAAGGTGTAGTAACACCCAAAAATGACTTTCACCCAAAGAAGATTATGCTGAGCGTTTGGTGGGGAGTAAGAGGGATTCTTCATTGGAAACTTCTTCGAAAACTGACTGCGCCATCACTGCTGATCTCTATTGTCAACAATTGGACAGAGTTGCAGAAAAATTCCATGGGGAAGCAGGATAGAATTTATTTTTTGCATGACAACACCAGACCTCACATTGCAAAGTCGACGCGTGAAAAATTCTTGGAGCTCGGATGGATTACGTTTCCACATCCATCTCTTTCTCCAGACTTGGCTCTCATGGATTACCACTTGTACCGTTCTCTGTCTAACCATTTACGCGAGAAAAAATTCGACGACGAGAACGATCTCAAAATAGACCTCGTCAACTTCTTCGGTCAAAAATCCCAGGACTTCTACGAACAGAGGATCCTTTCTCTTCCAGAGCATGGGTGACAGATCATAGATAGTATTGGAGCATATATTGTTGAAAGTTAGTTGTATTCTTGAAGTTAAAAAATAAAAACAAAATTTTCGAAAAAGAAAACGCAAAAAATGTCGTGCTAACCCAATAGAACGAGCAACTACCTATTACTTGGATTCAATAAAAACAGTTCATTCATGTCAGAATTTCAGTTCAGCACCAACACATGTTGAATATTGATAAAAATTCAAATTCAAGACGTCCTTTTTTGTTTTCATTGTTTTCTATATAATTAAAAGCGACTTATTTATGAAAAAAGTGTACAAGTATTCTACAATTTTCTATAATCATTGTATGTTCAAGTTCAGAAGTATGGTATTTGAAAAGAAAGTTACGCATATAGGAAAAAATAAGTTAGAAAGGGTGTTAAGGACATTAAATAACATGAGCTATATATGTAGTGGATGACTCATTTATGATTTAGTTTGTCTCTCTTTCTTATTCTGCTTTGCTTGACCGCTTTTTCA